GCTGCGCAGCCGTAGAGATGCCTATACACCTCAAGTGTCTGCTGTTGCTGCTGCTGCTGCGCAGCTGTGAAGGTGCCTATACACCTGAAGTGTCTGCTGCTGCTGCTGTTGCTGCGCAGCAGCTGCAGAGGTGCTTATATATCTAAAGTATATCCTGGTGCTGCGCAGCTGTAGAGGTGCCTATACACCTCAAGGCTGTCTTCTTTTGCTTGTTTCTTTATTTGCTTCTCTTGAAGGAGGCCCTTGCAGCGCTGCAGCACCAAATGAAATTGTGTGTTGCGGTGTCTCCGCAGCTGCCGGTATTATAGGAGTTATAAACAACGAAGGGCAGAGCTTCAGGGGGCCCTGCAGTTGAGGAGGAGACAACAAAACTGTCTCCTTTCTACTGTCTCCTGTCTCCTTTGTGGGGTTAGAGACACCAGAATATTATAAGCAGCAGCAGCAGCGCCACATACAAGCACCCACCCTCCAGCAACTGTGTGCTGCTTACTGCAGCAAATGCAGCAGCAGCAAGTGCAACAGCAGCAGTAGCAGCGGTAGGAGATGCAGCAGATGCGACAGGAGCAGGACGGATTGCAGCAGGTGGAGCAGCAGCAGCAGCAGGTGCAGGTGCAGCAGCAGCAGCAGCAGCAGCAAAAGAAGCCGCTGGAGCGGAAGCAAGGCTGAAGCTGCTGCTTGCAGCGTTTAAAAGAGTAAAGACAAATAAAAGACAGAAGAGAGAGAACAACCCGCAGTGAAGAGAAACTGTTTGCTGTGGGCAGCAAAACAAAAGGAGACAGACAGAGACAAAGAGACAGAGAGACAGAGACAGAAAAAAAGAGACAGATGGATAGAGACAGAGAAACAGAAAGAGAGAGAGACAGAGACAGAGGCAGAGAGAAAGAGACAAAGAGACAAAGAGACAGAGACAAAGAGACAAAAAAACAGAGACAGAGAGAGAGAGAGAAAGAGACAGAAGGGTGATGTATGCATAGAGCGGCAACAGGTTTTTAATATAAATAAACATGTATAGATGTATATAAATAAATACGTACATTCCTGTATGAAGTAAATAAAAAAAATATATATAATACATATATAATATATAATATATAATATATAATATATAATATATAATATAATATATATATAATATATAGTATATGCATATGTATATGCGTACATAACAAACATATACCGTAGATAATATATATATTCGCGTCTGTATGCATGCATTATACAGTAGAATGATATATATAAATATATATATATATATATATATAAATATCAATATGCATGTGTATACACGCATATATAATAATATATATGAAAGATAAAATATATATAATATAAAAAAATATAAAATATATAAAATATATAAAATATAAAATATATATTGTATACATTCTTTATATAAATAAGAGGCCGTGAGGTGTTACGGCGAAGACAGCAGAAGAAAAGCAGCAGAATGCAGCATATACACCGCAAGAGAGAGGAGACAGCTTTTATCTGTCTCCTTTTGTCTCCTCCTGTCTCCTCCTCCTGTCTCTTTATACTCTCTTCCCTCAACAGGCATCAATCGCTATAATAAATAATAATAATATTAAAATAAAACAAACAGTCTCGAACAGGAGACTGCATATTAACCCCAACATAGCCAAAGGAGACAGCAAAGGAGACAGCAGCAACGCGCGTTAATAATAAAGAGACAACGAGGAGACTATTAGACAGACACGCACCAAACAGCAAAAGGACATACAAGATGATATATATATATATATATATATATAAAGATATATATATATGTATATCAATATCTATATCTATATCGATATATATATATATATATATATTGTATGAGGCTCCGCATGCATATCTGTAAAGATAGGGGTTAAAGAAAGTTAAAAACCCTAAGCCCTAAACCCTCAGTTTCCTCAGGTCTATGGCTACAGGACTGAGCTGCACTAAACCCTAAACCCTAAACCCTAAACCACGTGTCTCCACGGAGACCGAGGAGACACCGCATCATCAAGAAACAAAACAATCACAAAGGAGCAGCTCAATGCGTTCAGGTGTATGTGCACCTCAACAAGCTAACAGCAACAGCAGCAGCACGGCGCTGCCCCTACGAAAAGCCCCTTGGGGAAGGAAGTCAGCTGCTGCTGCACCTATTGCTGCTGCTGCAGCTATTGTTGCTGCTGCAGCTATTGTCGCTGCTGCAGCTACTGCAGCGCCTACTGCTGCCTCAACTAATGCTGCTGCTAGAACTAGTGCTGCTGCTGCAGCTACTGCCGCTGCAGCTGCTGTTGCCGCTGCAGATGCTGTTGCAGATGCTGTTGCCGCTGCAGATGTTGTTGCTGCTGCAGCGCCTACTGCTGCAGCAGCTGCTGCAGCGAGGTGAGGAGTGTGTGTCTCCTCACGCTGAGCATGTGCTGCACCCGAAGTCTCTGGAGAGAGAAGAGTCTCTGCATGCAGCTACGCTTCTGCTGCCTCTCCCTGCTGTTGCTGCTACTGCTGCTGCTGCTGCTGCAGCAGCTGCTACTGCTGCTGCTGTGTCTCTGTCTCCAATACAGCTACTTGATGGGCTGGTAGTTGTTTGCTCGGAGTCGCTCAAGTGTCTCCTTTGCCTCCATTGCGTCACGCCGCTGCTGCGCCTTCGTGGGGTTGTAGTACAGCACAACTAAGTACCTGCAGCAGCAGCAGCAGCAGCAGCAGCAGCAACAGCAGGATGTACACACAGCAGCCAAGAGCTCCGCAGCAGCAAGGAAGCAGCGAGGAGACAGACAGAAGGGAGACACTTGGAGAGACAGAGTGGAGACAGCAAAGGAGACAGACAGTTGAGGAGACAGCAAAGGAGACAGAGAGATAAAAAGAAACAGACAGAAAGGAGACAGTCAATGCGACAAGTAGAGAGGAGACAATTGAGGAGACAGGCTGAGAGGAGACAGGGGGACGGAGACAGAAAGGAGACAGACAGCAAGGAGGAGACAGAAGGGAGACAAGGAGACAGAAAGGAGACACCAAGAAGGAGACACAAAAACAACGAAGGAGACAGCAAGACAACGAAGGAGACAGAGATAATGAGATAGCAAGACAAAGAAGGAGACAGAGAGGAGACTTCAATAGAGGGGACAGAGAGGAAGGAGACATCAATACAAAGGAGGAGACAGCAACACAGCGAAGGAGACACAACGAAGGAGACAGCAACACAACTAAGGAGACACAACTGAGGAGACAGCAAGACAGCGAAGGAGGCACAACTAAAGAGACAGCAAGACAACTGAGGAGACAGCAAGACAGCGAAGGAGGCACAACTAAAGAGACAGCAAGACAACTGAGGAGACAGGAAGACAGCGAAGGAGGCACAACTAAAGAGACAGCAAGACAACTGAGGAGACAGCAAGACAGCGAAGGAGACAGAAAGGAGACAGCAAGACAAGGAAGGAGACAGCGAGACAACTAAGGAGACAGCAAGACAAGGAAGGAGACAGCAAGACAGGGAAGGAGACAGCAAGACAGGGACGGAGACAGCAGATATTGCTGCACCTTCCTGCTACATTGAAGCCTGAGAGTTGGTCCACCGCAGCCTTCGCGTCGTAAATATCGTCGTACACCACAAACGCTGTCCCCCGAGTCGTAGGAGAATTACCCCTAAGCAAATGCATTAATAAATATATAAATATATATATTTATTTATGTTTCTATATGTTTATATTGTATATATTATATATATTATATATATTATATATAGAATGTGCATATATTAATATGCATAATGTATGCATATATATATATGTATATATATATATATATATAGGGAGAGAAGAAGAGGGCACGAGTGTCTGCTCCTGCTGTAAGCTTGGAGATTAGCAAAGGAGACAGCAGCAAAGGAGACAGCAGCAAAGGACACAGCAGCAGACAAAAACGGAGACAGCAGCAGCACAGGAGACAGATAGGAAAGGAGACAGTACCATTGAGAGAGACACCACAGAGAAGAGGAGGCACCACAAGAAAAGGAGACAGCCGTTACTAAAAGGAGACAGCTGATAATAAAAGGAGACAGCAGCAAGCAAAAGGAGACAGCAGCAGACAAAAGCAGAGAAACAGCAGCAATCAAAAGGAGACAGCAGCAGACAAAAGGAGGCAGCAGCAAATACAAAGAGAGAGAGAGAGCAGCAGACAAAAGGAGACAGCAGCAAATAAAAAGAGAGACAGCACAAGACAAAAGGAGACAGTAGAAGACAAAAGGAGACAGTTGGTTTACCTTCTGATTTGTCTGATGGAGCCGTACTTGCCGAAGATATCGTACAACTCTTCGCCGTTTATTTTAAAAGGTAAATTACGCACATATAATATGCGAGACACCTCAGGGGCTAAGCGCTGGGGGCGGCCCCTGCCCGCCAGCAAAGGAGCTGGCTGCATCGTGCTGCTGCTGCTGCTGCTGCTGCTGTTGCTGTTGCTGCTGTTGTTGGGGATGCTGCTGCTGCTGCTGCTGCGGTTGCTGCTCGGGCAAAGAGGGAGGTAGAGAGGAAAGGAGACACTCAAGGGTGAGGCAGAAGCAGGCAAAGGCGCTGCTCCTGCTGGGGCTATTCAAAAGAGACAAAGCCTGCAGCTGCAGCAGCAGCAGCAGCGCCAGGAGGAGCAGCAGGAGCTGCGGCAGCTGCAGCAGCAAAGAGCAAACACCCAAGGCAGAGGGTCAGAAGGAGACAGCGAAAAATCAACAAATGGAGACAAATATTCCCTCTGATGTCACGCGATCTAAAGAAAACCCAACTCCCTGCTGCTGCTGCTGCTGTTGTTGCTGCTGCTGCTGCTGCTGCGGTTGCTGCTGCTGCTGCTGCTGCAGCTTTCGCCGTTGCTTATACGAGACCCTGATAAACAAAAGAAATACCTTTTGAAAGAACTTGAAGGCTTTTGATGCCCCTGGAGGGCCAGAGAAGCCTCTGCATGCAGCAGCCAATGTTTTGCCGCTGCTGCTGCTGCTGCTGCTGCTGCTGCAGCTACTGCTGCAGCCCCAGCGTATGAGGTATTCTCAAAGAAGGAGTATATAGAGGAAAATATATTTATTTAGATAAATATAACTTGTTGTTTTAATTAATTCAATCTGTATATTTCGCTGTCTATCGATCCTGCGGTCATGAGGCTCAGAACAGATATTAGTATAACAAACCCTCGATTAGGGTTTAGGGTTTAGGGTTTAGGGTTTATGGTTTACGGTTTACACAACGCGACACACATCGCCTAGCTCATGTGAGCCCGCAGCCATTGACTGCGGAGGCCTAGGATCTTCTTCCCTTCTATGTTGAGGGTTTAGGGTTTAGGGTTTAGGGTTTACGATGGAGGGTTTAGGGTTTGAGTTTTAAACAGGTCCGAAGCAGCAGCCGCAGAGGCCTTATGGGGAGGGCCGAGGCTGTCTCCACGAACACAGAAACAGCAGCAGCAGCAGCAACAGCAGCAGCAACAGCATCTGCAGCAACAGCATCTGCAGCAACAGCAGCAGCAGCAGCAACAGCGCAGCG